ATTTGGAAACACCCTGTATATACATATGTATTAAGAAATACACTACGTATTACGATACAAAATAAATTTTTACTAACGTAAGAAGAATAACGTAGTTAGTATATCTAAAAATTATTTTAGCTGTATTAATAAGCTGTACTAATAAGTTACTAAGACGCAAATTTTTCTAACAATTATAAAATACTAAGCAAATTTTGCATATTTTGCAACTCCATTGTGTTACGCGCTTTTCATAAACACTCTGTATACTGCTAGGTTATCAATTTACTTCCGGAAACATGATAAACACGACCGTAATCCATCTTATGGCCATTGAATCCAGAGTCTACATATACGTATGTATATATTTATTAACAATCAATAAAGCTAACAATGTTATGTACTATTGGCAATGTCGATCGCAATCTGTCGCGACGCGACTCAATAAGTATAAAAGTTTGCAAAGTACTTGTAAAAACTAATACTCTAAATTACATTATAAATAAGTATTATGTAAAAGAATAGAAGAGCATAATTCGTGTAAAAAATAGTCGAACTTTGTGATGTAGCTGCAATCGTTAATATAAATGTTACGTTTATAAAAAGAATTCGTGCGTTTCCATCGATCTTTTTCAAATTACATAACATAAATGTGATTTCTCGGAAATCAGCGCTATTTAAAAAATAAAAGATTGAATTGCAAGATTTTAATTGAACAATGTTAACACAAAAAGTCGATGAAATTGTTTATTATTTTTACTCTTTAACAATTAATATTAATCTAATTGTAATATAAATATAAACATATTATGATATTTTTATCTTCTGATATTTTAAACATAGTTTTATTCTTTTTTAACGTATATATTGATGTAACTGTTTGCTTAAAATGATGAATACATAAGTTTATAACGTTTTTGTGAAATAAATTTATATCTTTATGTTTATTATGTTATCGTCGTATATAATCGCAAGTTAATGAAGATTATTGTACGCAAGCAAGTCGCGCGTTTCTTGTAGATACAAAAATTATTACAAAACATTGCAAATGCCTTAAATGTTTTTCATATTGAGAAACTATGGATGTTAACGTAATAATTATTATATTATACAAACATTTAATAAGTTTTGATGTGTCTATCTTAATTAAAAATATGCTGTCAATTACGTATTTAATATGTCTAGTACTACCATATCATTAAAGGCAACATGGTATATATTAGTTGCGTTATTCATAGAAAGATACGGAATTAGACTTCGGTGTCTAAAAATTTTTATACAAGAAGATTCTAAAAAATATAATTTCTGCTTTAATCATGCTATAATTTGGATATAATGGCAGTTTTCTACAAAAATCTTGTAGTTAAATTTATTAGAATATTAACAGAAAGATAGTAAAAATTTTGTATAATCTTAGAATATTTGTTCATTTAATAATAATAATGAAGCAATGAATAACGTAAGTATTAAGCTTAACATCTGCTAAGTGAATTAAAAATGTTATATATACAGAAACGTATTTCAATTATGATATATCGATGCATAATCAAAATGGAGATGATTCTTCCAGAGAAATCTAGGTAAAGGATATAAAAATAACCTTCAACGATATCTTCGTCTTCGCACATGTCGTGGCGCGATTTGCATCTTTACACGAATAGGATTTATACGTTCCTCGTGTTAATTTACATACAGAAAGTCGCACCGGGAATATATCGTCACTGCGACGGCTGCGACGCGACGTTCCCCATCTGGTCGGAATCTTCTGCACGAACATCGCGGTGGTGACGAATATTTCCATAGCGTTGATTAGCGGCCTTAGTAATTCGAGATAGTGTTGGTGAAGGTGGCCCATGTTTCCTCGATGGGTGCCAACACGGTGATCACTATGAGGACTGCGGCGAACACGACGATAACCACAAAGTACACACCGAAAATGAATTTCCGCATACCAGAGTGCTGTCGGGAAAATATTCAAAATGAAACTTTGTTTGCGTCCTGATATTTGTTTGTGTAATAGATTATTTTTTGACGTGATACCGTTTATCAACATTTATACAATAACGTGAACTGCTGATTAATTTATACAATTTATTGCTTTCCACTTAAGAGACAAGATATTTACACACTATATGTCCTTCGAATTTTCTTGGAATTTTGTTTCTCTCTCTCTCTCTTAATCGAAATAAATCATATTTTTTTAAATTGTTCGAATAATTTTATTTATAAAGATGTATGTAATTTTCTCATTTATGTAATTATAAAATTTCGATCGTATCCTTTAACGCGTGGAGTGTGCTTTTTATTACGTTACAGAATGCGGATCTCGCCATAGACTTTATAATGTTTACGAAGACTATATTAAAAAATGCAATTTGTTAACAATATCATTTCTTTCGCCTATCTACGTCTCATTGTCAATTTTATTAACGTTTCACGGCGGATCGACACACGTTAGAAAACGACTTGATCACGTCACTCTTATTTTAGAAAATCTTACGGGAGCGTCTCGTCTCGCATCTGGATGCACCATTGATCCACGAGAATGCATGTCTTTCATCGGGAATGAATTCACTCTCTGACTAGCTTGTCTGTCAGAGGCACATCCAAGGAACTGCAATAGAAGCAAAAGTGTCACAAATACCACAATCAGAATTAAGTCTTGAGTAAGGTGATTATTATTCGACATTGACACAAATTCCGTTAAATATCTCATTACTTAGTCTTTTCCAAGATATTGCATAAAATTCAATTTTTATATCATTTTTATTGATTTCTTTATGAAAATACAATGATCTAAAAAAAATTTGATATTAATTGATTTAGATCTAGTGTCGAAACTGTGATTGTTACACGTTTGCATTAATAAACTGCTCAATTAAATTCTTTTGCGATTTCTTCTCAAAATGTTCAGAATTTTTTTGCGTGAACTTGGTAAATAAAAAATTCTTACTGTAAGAATGAGGTGAGTTAAAACATGAAAGATTACGAATGCTGTGAGGATCCAATCGACCCAATCTGGAAGTTTAGCCTTGTTCAGTCGTACCGCGAAGAAAAGCGCGATTACTAAAACAAAATTTTGTGAAAAATTAACACTAAATATTAATTTATTTCATGAATATTTAAAGAAAGTGTATTTAGTATTAAATTATCATTTATTATTTTTTATTATCATATCAAATAATAGGAAATTAAAGTAGACAAAAGTTTCCATCTACTTATTACCTACTGCAATAATTTTTGTACTGTAAAGAAACTACAAGAATAGAAACTAGAAAATTGTAAGGAAAATTCTTCAAATAACAGTAAATCATAAAAGAAAAATGTAATATAAAAAAAATAAAAGTTTATTTATTGCTGTATTTATAAACTTACAAGCACATATTTTTGCCACGTTACCAACGAACCAGTGAGCCCAATTGAAAAGAACTCTTCGTGGTGCGCCAGGATGTGGTCTCATAGCTGCCATGAAAGGTTGGATAAAGCACAGAATTGTGGTTGTCAGGCCGACCGAAGCATGTATCGTCTCGGAACTCCACGTACCCAATTCCACGAATATTATTACGAAGGCTGCGATCGTCATTGACCACGTGAACACCATAAAGAATCTGTGCCACTTAGGGAAAAATTGATAGGCCTTTATTAGAAAGAAAGACATCCGAAAAAGACATGAGACGCTTTTTTTGCGTGATTTGAATGTTAATGACATATGCTTCGAATATTGAAGAATAGTATTTTGTTAGCAACATTAGATATTCGAGTAACGTAAAGTTAATGATATCGCACAGAATAAAACGTGATACTAATAGAAATAAAAAATGATAAAATTAAAAAATTACTAAGTTATTAAAAAATAAGAAAATAAGATAATATTCTTCTTGACCCGCGAAACCCGCGAAACGGATAACCTTTATAAGATAATATTATTCATTTTCTGCATGACTTAATATTATTGCAAAATTTTTTATTAAATAAAATACATTATAAAAAAATTAATATTTAAAATGTATAGATAATAATAATATATAATATTTAGGGCCGATTGTTCCATCTTCAGATAAACTATGTAGTAATTTACCTATTGGATAAACAAAAGAGTAAAAGAGTAAGAGCATAAAAGTGTAAGAGAGTAAGAGAGTAAGACAGTGAGATGAAGTTTACCGAAAGGTGGAACAACCCAGCCTTAATGAATTATTTTATTTTGATAAAAATTTTATTTGAGATTTAATTTGCCTAAAATAAAAATAGCTCTTTATCCTTTAATAGAAATAAATTGATCTATGTAACTGATAAGATTTTTAAATAATAGCTGTTAAAAGTATAGTCATTTAAAATCGAGCCAAATACAATATTTAATTACATTTAAATATTATATATTAAAATTAAAAATTTAAATTTACTCTCTTATAAAATAAAAATAAGAGTTTATATAAATTTACAGAAACAATTTTTTGTTTATAAAATTATCAAAAAATTAATGCATGACAATTTATTATGACAAAAGGAGTTGGCTGAGTTTATTATAATAACAGGTATTTTTATTTTACGTTCTATAATTGCAATATCCAATGAGAATATAGGTATAGAAAAGTATAATTTTGAAAAAAAGATAAGCGAAATAATTAAATAAAATATCTATGCTAGCCTAAAAATTCCGTACTTACAACGAACCAGTGATCCTTTCCACATAACTGGGAGTTGACCCAGGTCTGTCTATAATATCTTGCGAGTAGCATCCCGATGGAGGCCGTACCGATCCACGATGCCAACATAAGTGCACCATGAAGACGAATCAGTAGGTCAGAGGCTGCAGTCCATTCTCCGACGTCAGATAATTTCTTTGAGGTGCTGGTCCCAAGATAGATAAGATCGTGAAACTCAACGCCATTTGCTAAAAAAAAGACAAAGAAGCAATGCAATATCTATAAATGACGTAAATCATTCGCATAAAAATAGAACAGATAAACTTCCTGTATCTTACATACAGACTTCTTGTATAACGTTACTTTTAATCAATTCAATAATCATCACGCCAGTAAGAATTCCAGAAGCCGATCTACTCAAATTGCATTTCATTCATGTTCCTGTTCGTTTGAGCGGAAACATAAGGAAGCTATCAAATTTGCAGTTATTTCAACCTGTTTGCATCGAGAAAGTCATAAAGTTCTTGCACACTTTGCTCTTGGCGAAAATGCACGTGAAGTGAACTTTGCGAAGTCCGTCAAGGTTTCTCTTTTCTTTCTCTATTTAAAAAAGTATGACGATAAATCGCTACTTTATAAATTTGATATTACCGCGATTGAAGTCACTAAACCTGTCTCCCTGATTTAGTAATTACAACAACAATTACAATTTCCTCGCATTTATAATTTCCCGATAGATTTTTATAATGATGAAATTGTACATTCTATATTCAGCTTATACGTACGTCTCAGATCTGTGCCGGCGGCCACGAGAAGATGGTACGGAGTGTTGACAAGGTCATACGTATGTCCCTGAATGCTGGTACGCTTGTCCCGTCGAAACTTGCAATATATCATGTCATTTTTTATCGTAGCACTCTCCAACTCGACCGCGCCTTCCGACTGTGGACGAATCACGAATAGAGCAATAATTAGACGCGAATTTGGAGAACAAAGTTAGAACAATTCGAGATACACATAAGACGATTTTAAAATGAATCGCCATACTTTGTAGAGATATATTCTTCGATCAATTTGCAATCGGTTTTGATTTAGCAAGAAATTTAATTAAACAAATAAATAATTCAAGCGTTTATATTTAATAAATTTTTAGTATTTAAATTTCATGATTCAAAACTTAAAATTCGAATTTTATTAAAATTTTGTTAAAAATAGATAGTTAATCCATTAATGTACTGTTGTTTCCAACTGAACGATATGCGGTAAGATTTGAGGTCGAACTGCTAATGAGTGAGTTTACAGCGAGTAACGGGAGGAAATGCCCCTTATATGAGCTTCGTAATTATTTGTAGGGCTTAAAGATTTACAGCATTATCGTAGCGGGAGCGACACCGTCAGCTACGGCTAGTACAATAATTGGGATTTAATGGGCCAGACTCGTTGCTCGCGACAGAGCACAGGGCGAATTAATTAACACAACAGTGCATCTAGTAGGAGGGTGGTGCAGCATAGCAAACGATACTCACCAGTCTATAGCGCGTATTGCGCTTTCCGGAATTCCAAGATGTGTGTAACGCAATTTCACCATTCTCGTTCGTGCACTCAACTACGCTGTCTTCTCCCTGCGTACAATTTTGCTTATTATCACTTAATTGTTGATCCCATAAATTGCGCACGTAATTAATTACAAATATGTCACATTAATTTCGATGACGTTAATTGCCGAGTAAATATTACGTCCGACGTAAATAAACCAGTCAGTGACAAAAAAATCCAATAGCATCTAGAGAATAACTATAGAGAAATAACTATATAAATGTGAATTAAAAGATTGAAATATAATTAACACGTTAAAATTATTCAATTAGTTAAGATATATTTATTATGCGCAGACGATGTATTTAATATTTTGCAATTAATGTCTCTCAATAGAAAAGATGTAATATATAGTTCTCCAAATCTATAAAATTTTAGTAATTTTTTTTCAAAAGCTGTTACATTGAAGAAAGGTACTAAAAGAGGCGCAGACAAATATTGCAGCAAGATAATAGAAATCTCGCGAAACCCGATAGAAAACGGCAGCGAGAAGTAACTTCACACATTTAATATAAAATACTTTCGCGGAGATTCTTTTTTATGCAAGTTTCCGCTTAAATCTCACGAAAGTTTGAAAAGAAGCTGCGCGAAATGCTTGCGAGCGCAGCGCCTCGCAATTACCATATTCTTATCATCCGACAGGCCGACAGCAACGAATTTGGCACCCTTTCGTGCCTGCATCTCGAAATGATATTCATCGCCCTGCACGATCACGGCCACCGCTGCGATGCAGTCCTTGGTTTTTATACAGTCTGCGGGCGCGCCGAAGCAGTTCTTCGTGGTATGGCAGCCCGTGTAGAATGGATCCTCATCCTTCGGCTGCAACGAGAACACACACCTGGGGATGACGCGAGGAATTTACAGGCAGGAATACCATCCGCAAGATAGTATCTCGTGTGGAACGACGCGTTTGCGGAGATTGCGCAACGTTCTTCCGTCATTTGATTCGAAATTGTATGACGGAACGACGAATGAAAATGAACAAAGCACGAGTAAAGGAGTTTCGGATACTTGTCGATTATCGAGAGTTGCTTACGTATATTGTCTTGAAAGATAACTTTGATATATCGGGAGAAGACATTCTCCCTCACCATTAAACAAACCGTACAGGTTATTTAAAGTTTATCTTTAAATAGTCTCTTGTTGGATACATAAGATAAACAACAAGATCTAGAGAAAAAATACAGATTATATTAAACTATAGAATTTTGAAAAATTAAACAGAAAGGTTATTTAAACTATATCTTAAAATTATAGTCTCTCGTTGGATACGCAAGAGAAATAAAAAGATTTAGAGAAAAAGTACAGATTATATTAAATTACAGAACTTGAAGAATAAAACAGAGAACAGAAGAATGTAACTATAGTTATAGAATATAAAGTTCCTTTTTCATCATTTATGTAAATAATTAAAAATTTGAAAAAAAAAATAAACTTTATGATAAATAAGAAATGCTTAACATTACATACATATAATAAAAAAATATTCAGTAAAAAATCTTGCGTTTTAATAAAAACAAATATTACTCCAGAATAATTATAAACAATATAATATGTAATTTTTTATAAGAGGTAAATATTGAGAGTTGTATTATCAGGTATGAACGAAACGTGATGATATTGGAATTAAAATATCGCTGTACTAACACTTGTCTATGACGCAAGGATGTTCACGATTATGGCAACGATGCGAATATTAAACTCATAATATTTATGCGTAGGATTACTTGTCGTAAGATCAAGAAGACATATATTCCATCATTGCTGCAGCAAATTAAACGATAAAATATGGCATAGCATTTTTAATTGAGTACAACAATCAATTTTTGATTGCTTTAACTATCCGCAATGTTAATATACGATTTCGACGAGGCTGACCCAACCAAAAATTGGTTACTGCATCCGTTAAAAATTCTATGCCATATTCAGCCAATCTTTTCTTTCAATGTAATAATACATTATAATAATATAACGACATTAATCCCTGTAAATTTAGATATAAATAAAAATACACACAAAAAGTAATTAGAAGCTATATAATATTTTGCGACAAATTTCCGACAAAATATTGCTGAATAGCAATTAAATAATTATATAATAATAAATAGTACAGTTAAGGGCCTATTCTATAACTCTTAACGACTATAACGATATCATTACTGTCGTTGCGCAATGACTTTTTTATTATATACAAAACCTGCGCAATGACAATATAACGACATCGTTACAGTCGTTAAAAATTATGGAATAGGCCTCTTAAGCGTGATCTATAATAAGTTGCCAAAACACCGTCGCCAGTCGCAATGCTTCGTGACAGCCAATCACTAGTAATTAGTGATGCTTCTGATTGACTGTTGCGAAGCATTGCGACTGGCGACGGAGTGTTTCCAACTTATTGCAGACCACGCTTTAATCTACAATAACACAAACAAGCGAAGAAAGCTATATTCAGTCAAGACATCTTAGTACCTAATAATATTTTGCATAAATTTTACAATTTCCAGTTTGTGCATAAACGCGCCGATTATTTTGTTTTGAAATAATTCCAAACTGAAAATGGGAATACATAATATCACAAATTATATTGACAAGTAATTTAATAATAAATGAGCATCTTGAAACATTGTAAGAATTTATTGGGAAAAGTACCACTCCAGGGTTCCTGGACCTCCCTATGTTCTGCAAAGAGCGTCTTTTATCAAGTCGATCACTCAGATATATGGTGATATTTATCACAATCATCAAATAAGTGTATCGGACAGCTTTTTCAGGCGATATAAATAATGTACGATAATTATATTATATGATTTAATTATTATCCTTGAAAAAGCATGTATTATGTTTTATTCAATTTAAAATAAAATAAAAATTTTCAGTATATATATATATATATATATAGGGTGTTCAGCATAACGGTTCGCACGATTTCTCAGATATTTCCGACAGTTAAAAAAAAGTTAAAAGGTGAATATTCATCTGTTTTATCTGGAGACACGACAGTGTCGCGGCGCTAAGCATAGCGTGCTATGATAATGTCTCGGTTTTTCAAAACAACAGGATCGGTAAAGTCGGTAATAATAAAACACGCTGGTAATTGCTAAATAAATAAAAATAGGAAATAATAAAAATTAGGAAATAGTATTTTTATTGAAATGTCATTTTTATTGATGTTTTATTAATTTTATTGATACTTAATATCAAATTTGTAACATTATTTATAACAGCAGTACTTACAACCTCTGACTAGAACACAAAACATACATATATAAATGTACTTATTTAATAAAATATGCAATAAAATCAATAAAAGTGACATATAAAATCAATAAAAGTTCGACAATGATTTAAATTCGTCTTGAAGACTCTTACAATATTATGGAAAAAAATTGTATGGTGCTATTTAAAAGAATTAAGATGGCTTTGATTTCCTCACGAAAAAAATTTTTTTAACTTTTTTATCGCATGTTGTAGCCTATATAAAACAAATGAATACTCACTCTTCAATCTTTTTTTTAACTGTTGGAAGTATCTGAAAAATCGTGCGGGCTGTTGCGCTGCAAACCCTGTGTACATGTATTACATATTGTTATAAAATAAAATAAAGACTTTGATGTCTCTGATTCAAAGATTTTCAGACATTAAATATTAAAATATCTTGATTAAATATTACGAATACTACACAAACTTTTACAAAATTGTGACATCTTGAATGATAAATTACTTGAATTATAAATATAAATAACGTCTAATTATCCAGATAAACATTTAATAATCTTTTAATCTAACAAATGTTATCTGAGTAAATATTTAATGCAATTGTCTCTAATAATGTTAAGGAATGTATGAATCAGCAAGAAATCCTAATAAAGGAGACCTTGTGGAGCAAATCGTGCGCAACAATTCGCGGGAGCGTAGTTCAGAGCCGAACGAAAAGGAAATCTGCGGCGAGAGAAAGAGAAGTTTGACGACCAGCCTTCAACTTAGATACGCTTCGCGAAATCGTGCGTTCACGCTCGACGGCCTCGTTCGCCATTACCGCTCTTTGGTGTACTTTTACGCTTTTTTATCGCGAACGATCGAGCACCGTTTTCAAGGAAAGGCCACTCATCTGTATGGCAGGACGTAATTATTCAATGAAATCGTTGTATATATACATGTTGTTTAACTAAGTCAAAAAGCAATTCTTTTCAATGGGAAAGTATTCTCAATTCATTTTGTTGGAAAGATGTTTTCGAAACAGCAATCCGAATCACGAAGTTTGTGTCGAAAAACTTAACAGTTTATAGAAGGTACTATCGAATCGCCCTTCCATTTTTATCTCGTTTTCAAAGATAAATTGCAAATGGATTCTACTACTATGATACCTACATAATGCAGAAAGTTTATGTAATATAAGGATGCGAGTTATTACAAGTATTATGTTCAGGATTTCCAATTAATAAGTATGAATGAATTTAAAAAATGCAAGATGTATGAAAGAAAGATTAATAATAATAATTGTAATAATTTAAATTAGGACTTTATGTCCCTATGTTTTTTTAGAGATATTGCACGGACTCTGGTAAGATTTCTCCCAAGTTTTCTCTTAGATTTCTCTCACGTTTTTTATAAATTTTTATTTCATACATTAAGGATTAATCCTGTCTGGTTGCACCTTCTACGAGTACTGCAATATTTTATTTATCTTCTCTCAATATTACCAAGCATGTTTTTATGCAAAACACTTAGAATAAATATTTAAATTTACTGATTCTTATAAAGATATTCATATATTTCATACGAGTATATTTGAATATTTGTATATTTAGTATTTTATTTTGGATAAAATGAAAAATATCATTTTCAAAATTAAAAAGCAAAGTACAACGAAAAAAATAAACTGCAGCGAATCTATTGACCACAAGCGATGCATGGTTCATAGAACTTCTCCATTAAAGAAGAATTTAGAAAATATAATGCACTTATATTTTATCAATCACATCCGATAATTCCTCGACTATTCCACTTGGCGGTCCTCGAACATGTAATAAAGACCAAATCCGTGAGAAACAAATAGAGAACCATAAAAAATCTACGACACGAAATCGCGAATAGCCGCGGAAGTAAACGGTGAAAGTACATACATAAAGCATAAATTCCAGAATGTTGGTTACGGTCGCGTGTTATATCTTTATTGTATACAGCTAAGGGCCGTGCATGTATACATATGTAGAGATGCATAATTCATACATTCGTACATCACGCGCGGCTATATTTGCCTCTCAAATTTTTTACTTTCTACGTAATCAACGCATATTAGATATATGATACGAAAAACGGAGATTAACGAGAAGAAAGTCTTTCTATCGTATAATCGAAACATTTAAAATTTTTGTTCATATAAATAATACAAACGGAAAAAGAACGATACAGAATCAGTTAAGGTGTCTTTTTATTCTAGATTTTTAATAAAATTTATATTTCACACAGCTCATTGTACGTTAATTAATTATCCATTTTATGTTATAAGTGATGTTCATTGAACGTAGGTATGAGAATATAAGCATATTTTAATTGAGTCTGAATTTCGCGAAATTGTAAAATGTAGATTTATGAGTGCGTTATTTTATTTCTCATTCATTAACGATGAATATTTAATTATTTATTTGGCAAATATAATACACTTGGAGCTGACAATTTTAATAATTAGAGTATTATTACAACTCATTCATGCGAAGGAAATTGGAATGTATTTTCATCCAACGCCCGTTTAATCCGTGTGAACGTAATACAATGAAACAATTCATTGAAAACAATTGGCAGTTATTATCTTCCAGGAAAATTTTGATAGATTTTTTTCATATAAGATTAATAAGCAAGATTTCTTATACATGTCATTAATAATACAAAAATCGTAATTCCGCTTATTAAAAGATTCAATTCAATCTATTTGACATTCATTTGAATATTTTTCAGAATATTATATGCAGAGTGTTTCAAAATAAGCAAATCAAATTTAAATTTAATAGATGCTTCAATAAATTTTATATTAATATTTTATTATAGAAAAATACGCGTTCCGATATTAACTATTTTTATAATTAAACTTTAAATAAAAATTAAAGTTCATTTAATATTAACTGAAAATTATGATATTTTCATCTACTTTCTCTCTGTGACGTATAATTTATTAATTTATAGAAGCTGTTTATTTTCAAACAATTTCAAAATCATAGATGTATTGATATTTTCATGGAGGAACAAGCAATATCGAATAGAACAGTGAAAAAAGAATAGTAAAAGTAATTTGATAGATTTTGGAATATTCTGTATATAACGAACACAAGTTGCGTAAGTTCTTCGAATGCGATTAACGAGAATCCTCTGTACTCGGCGTCTGGGCCGGCTGCCATGCATCCCACGAGCAATATTCGCAAAGCCACACCTATCGGGACTTACAGGCCGCTTACGACGTTTAACACGCTGTAATACTACCACGCGCATTTACCTTATAATGGTGACGGCGCGCACGACAGGAAATATAATACTCACCGCATAACTGGCAGTGGGGCTGTAGTAGGGCGGCGTGGTGGTTCTGAAGGGAGTGATAGGTGTAGATGAGGTCGATACCGTGATGGACCGCTTGTCAACGGTGACTTTAGGCGACTCTACGCCAATCCAGTACGTGTAGTAATCCTGAGCGAAGGTGGAGCTACAGAAGAAACAGGGTCAATGAAATTAAAGTGTACGGTAAAACAAGATTCGACAAAAATAGTAGAAAACCGTTTTAAAGCATATAAAACTAATATTATAAAAACGTTTTAATGATGTTATGACAAATTAGATATTATGACATACCAAAAAAATGTTTACTTTGTATTTAAAAATAAATAATAAACGTGGTTTATATTAATAAATAATATGAAAAAAGAAGCATAAAACCATAACACAAGTTGTTATTAGCGGTATGTCAAATATTAAAATTCACAAATATTCATAGTTATAAAATATAGATGTTTCGGCCAATATCTGACTACCTTCAGTATGTCATATTTAATAAATAAAAGTCACGCAGAATACATGATAAAACTTGTCTAATTTCTATTATAGTCAATGTAATTTTAAATTCTAACGAATTTCTATGTTCGACATCGCTCGATTTCTTGTCATTTGTAGATTCTAACAGATATTATTTATACTTGTTTCGCAATTGAGTGAACACATAATTTCCAGATTCGTGTGTTCCTTGCAAAATTAGTTAAAACGTTAATTGTCGTCGATGATGAAAACCAATAACAAGGATGGAGAATATTTTACAAAGCCGTGTGTACTTTGTATTTCTATACAAAGGAAAGTCGCCGATACTGACATAAATCTCTTAAAGAGACATCTCTTTATTATTTAAAAACTAAATATTGCTCTTTATTAATACTGATAAAAAAATAATTTATTTAGATAATTAAAGAAGTAAACACTCAAAATTTATATATTTGTGGCTTAATTATTTCTATACAAAATTAGCTAAAAAATTCTACAAATACAAAATAAAATTCTTATAATTTTCTTTTGCACATTACGTAGTTTAAATAATAGTGGCTACATTATTGATAATATTACATCGTGTTACATGTTGGTTATTTCCTAAGGCCCTTTTCACTATAACCTTTGCATGGTTAAGTTAATCGATGATCGCAGAAGTGCCACTAATAATTCAATGAATTAAAACTTCTCCTCTCTCTTCCTTTTCTGACAAATTATGTTCAGTTGGCAATCGTGATGATTGAGTTAATCATCGACCATTAACCATTAACGTTAATCGGAATTGGTGAAAGAGTAAATCGGTTTTATTTATATTTTTTCTTTTTCATTTTTTTCATAATGATTTTTCCAAAGATTATACTTGTCTATAAGACAGATCATAAACTAACTTATAATTTTTATATATAGTCTTGCTTTATAGTCTTGTTTTCAAATAGCCCTATCGGAGCTGAAGGTATACTCGTATATTTATGGAAAAACCCTTAAAAAAGAAACTGTCGCTACATGTTTCCGTTTTACAAAACAGCATTAACCTTTTCTCTGTGTACAGATGTGCAAACACACCCCAAGTTAATAAAAATGTAAATAAAAGTTACCGAATGGATAAAATTTTCAAATCTTAAAAATTCTGTGATATAAATGTGAATATTTGTACACAGAGAGAAGGTTAATGCATATAAATGAACAAAAAACGTTTTATATCGAAATAAAAAGATTCTAGAAAATTTTATGAACATTCACTTGTATGTATTTTATACATATGGCTTCTATGAAAGAAAAAGAATAGAAACATGTGCAGGCATTATTGCATACTGTGTCAGTTTTGATGCTTATTTTGTTAGACGCTCATTTTTACTTATCTTACGTAAAAGTTAATTATTGCATAACAGTATTATAAAAATTGCTATATTATCTGATAGTAGACACTTTCTTAGTACGTATTAATTTCTCTAATTTTATTTTTAGCTTTAAGTTTAAGAAATATTATTTAAAAATAAGATAGTATGTCGGTATCGGTAATTTCTTTCTATCTCTTTCATACATTTTTATATTTTTATTAATTTTTTAAAAATTGTAAAATATTGCGTGATTTTATATTTATATACAGTTATATTGTGTATGTATAAAACAGTTAAATTTCAATTTTTTCATTGTCAGAGACTTTAAAATATTATAGCTGTCTAAAACTCTACTTTATAGATCAAAAAATTTAATGTATAATTTAGTGTAATAAGGAACGTTTTTAATTGAATTGACAATATTATTCGTATGAAATTATGATAAGAAATTATTTAGATATGAAACACACTAGACTTTTTTAACTTTATTCAATTTTTGGCGAAAATGTGTCAATTACACGCGATTTAAATTTAAAGCGAATTCAGAGAAATTAATTTTTCTGGAACTAAAAATAGTGTTTAAATTTATACTTTTTCTTTTATTTTCAATATATTAGAATAATAGAATGCAGCGCAAATGCAGTATATATTCGATGTGATATGTATATGTGATGCTTTGTAATATATCTTAATAAGAGTTTCTTATAGTGATACTCACTTTTTCTAATTTTCGATTGTCTTTCATGAAAATTAAAATGGATGTCCGGAAATTACAAGGCATAAAAACAAACTTAACAATTATAAAGTTAAGTTCAAAGTTTAAGAATTAGTAATACATAACGTTCTAAAATAAATTTTTAATTAGTTTTTTAATTCTTGTTTCTCTTGCCTAGAAGTTGTTAACATTATACAATAAGATTATAAAACTCTTGACATTTATTAATAGTGAGAGTTATTCTCTATTCATGCAGAACTATTAGATCACATCGAAATGCGAACCATGATATTAAACGTATTAAAAATACTTTCACGTAAATTCTCTTTTTTGTTAATACTGGTTGTTATGAAATATATAATAAATATCAGAATACAAAAGTGGCAAAGAATTCTCAAACGGTACCGTAAAAACAAAATAAAAACTCGCGAAATAAGTTACGAAGTTTTAACAAGGGATCGCAGCTGCGCGTTCTATTAAACATGCATTAGTAACTCCGCATCGATTATTACGAGGAAAAGTTCATAAGGAATGTTTCGCGCGTTTCTCGCACCGTTATGCCCGCACGAGCGCGTTGAATTCCAAGCACGAGTCGCATCCGCGCGTACGGTAATACCTAATTGTGATTCATAAGTGTGATACGCTACACCTCTACATACGTACGTATGAAGCTGTATGTGCTTGTACGTGCACGCAATGGTTGAGATCAGACGCTAGAATCATGACTCAACAATTAAGCCGTTTTTAGACGTTGATATTTCTTATTCTACTTAAATTTTATAAATAGCTATTCAGCAACTTCGCGATTTTGTAAGTTCGGAAGTAACAAACTTTTACAGTTTTAATGCGGTCCTTGACGTGGCAACAAATATTTGAATATCTGATAAATAATCTATTGTATTTAGTTTTATTAATCACATGCAACGGAATAAAATTGTAATACCCCTCTAAAAAAATCACGTTTATTGTTTATAATTTAGGATTGCAACAAGTTTTATTTTATTATATAATTATTTATATAATATATTTATATATATATTAAATTTACAATTTATTATTAAAATTTCTTTTGTAAAATTTATCATTATATTGTATGTATAGTTTCAAATTTGTGGGATATTAATTATAGATATAATAAAATAATTACTGTTTTTACGGAACATGAGTTGAGCAACAAATATACAACATACAGATTTTAAATAATATTCAGTAACGTGTTTATCTATGGGCTTTTGTGGTTAAAGCCCTAGAGCGTCAAAACGCTAGGGGCATCACAATTTTAAAAAGAACAAAGAAATTAAACGGTAATTTGACAATGGTGTTTATGGTGCAATTTTATAAATCGTTGGAGCAATAACTAGATAAAACTGTTAACAGTATATATACTTAAGAGTGTGAAATTGTTGCCTCTTAAGTCTTAACAAGATATAATTAATGACATGATTAACATGATATTTGTCATTGACAAGATAGTATTAATAGTATCGTCGGTGTATTTGTGACTCTAGTCAAAAGCGTGTAAAGAAAATTGTATTTATTAATATGGAGAGGAAGGGGGGCGCTCAAAGATCACGAGTTCCTGGGCGCAAATTTTATAAACGCGCGCGGCCCTGATAATATTAAATACTAATTTAAAAAAAATAACGTCAATAAATTTGTTTTATATAGATTATATCAAGATACAGGAATTTTTCTGTGTGATACAATTCATTCAAACTTCACTTAATTCAATGAAATTTATCGTTAAATCGCGTGATTATCGTTAAAGTATCGTCATTATTATATAACAATACTTACTTGAAGATAATGGTACCTTCGTAATTAACTGGAGCCTCCCAATCGAATTCAAGATTGTGCTTCTGGTTTTTATTCGTATGGGTTACGCCATTCTAAACATAAAAGCAGCAAAAATTTTTTCAATAACAAAGTGCACATCATTCACATTTGCGAAAGAATCTCGATAAATGATTAAATCTTGGAAAAATCATTGAGGATAAAAAAATATTTGTTACATAAAAACAGAGCGCTCCGATGCATCATATTACTAACAATAAGAATGGCGAAGTCGTAGAATTAATATCGTGGAATATATACTCACTCACAGAAAAATAGGCCTCTATAATGTTACAATTATCGACTTTTTGCAGATTTATATAGTACAATTGAAAATAACAATCGTTACAATTGTTGTAATATCTAGAAATCAATACTTTAAAAATGTAATGCAATAATTCATTTTTTCTTTTAAAAAATTGAAAAAATTCATCCAAAACTCGAAAAAATAAAGTATATATTAATTCTAAAATACTAATTAAAATATTTTAATATTGGACTTTTCGATTATTCAATATTCATAAGCATTGTCTCGATGTTTATAAAAATATTAAAATCTTTTTTACTTTGATATGATTTATAGCTGGATAGAAAAGAAAGAAATAAAAATGATATGGTGCAGAAAATACCTTTACACCTTGTGTGCATTCCACAATTTTCGCGGATTCGGGCAAGTTTATAAATTCTCCCACGTATTCACCGGTATCGATGTCTCTAGCGAGGATCATGAAGCCTTGGTATGCGAGACCCTCTGGACTTCCAAGGATTAAACGGACTCTACCTTGTCCTGCTGCAGGTAGTACCTGATAAGGTGGATACGACGATTGCGGGGAAGTGTTTTCATGACGTGGCGTCAGATCGAAGCATGTTCGCGGAGGCGCGCCATTGGGTAATCCCAGCACCTTTACGAGCAAGCCGATAACCAGAAACAGCAATGGCTTAGGCATTTCTATAACAAAATGTAAAAAAAAAACAGTTAAAGAACAAGCATAACTAACGTAATATTTTTTATGCATAGGTATATAATATTTTTGTTGAAAAAAAGTTGATTTTAAATTGACCAAAAAATTCGTTATTAAGAGATAACTGAGAGATTAGACTTTTTTTAACATTTTACGTTAATATAGATAATATTCATACATAAATACCTTTATGCTGTTAGATTTAAATTGTTGTCAACATCACATTTGTAATTAACTTTGATGCATACCCATAGCAAACGTAAAAAAAGCGAATTATGATTATTCCCTCACGAGAAATAATGAAACAATCGGGAAATATCTAAATGAAACAACACATGTGTTTAAACACGAACGGAGATAATACGCGTTGTGTGTTTAATCAGTTTAATGTTCTCTGTTCATGTCGATGTTGAATTTATCCGATATGACGTAAACAGAAATGTGCATCTGGCAGCTATTCGTTGTCGCTTATCCATAATGCACGTCTTATTCCTTCACCTGTACGTAATCTCATGTGTAAATTTCAATTTCAACAACCGCATTTGCATTAATAATTGCTGAACGATCATATAGAAATCGTAAAGATAATGATTCATCTAGTTTCATTTATGTATGAATATATAAATTATTCAAATATAATCAAGAGAACTGCAAGTCCAATGTTCAAGTTATATATTCTTTAACATTTCCTTTGATATCTATTGTACATGCTTGTACAGTGATTTCAGCAATACTTCAATATCAATTATAAACTTACAATCTATTATAAAAATTATAATCTTTAAAAATATAGATATTTAATTCTTCTCCTATTGTTCTGTTTGTACAGAAGATGATACATTCATTTTATATCTATAAAGATATAGAAAAATTATGTATCTCGAATACTTCTGATATGTATTGTAACAATTGATAAAATAATTGATAAAATGAATCATATAACTTAAAAAATTATTAGCGATAAACCGACAATTTTTTATAATCTGTTAAGAATGCAAGTTAATTGTTAATCATGTTTGTTCAATCATGTGATAGAGTGAATCGAGATAATAAGAGATACTTAGAGATAATAAGAGATACGTTATTGAGATATTAATGAACGACGAAGTGATGCAAGAGGAGTGAATGACTCGAAGAAACAAGCGCGTTCACTTGTGCACAACCCACGCCTGAAAGAACTGACTTTCACCCTTTGGGAGTTTAGCTCCTTACGAGTTTCTCAGTTCGCGCATTCCTAAATGCCCCGCTACTACTAAAATATTCCTCATGCCTGCCGTTATGTAATACCGACTGACCCTCGCCATTGAATGCCACGCAGCCACGGCAATGCCTATTGCAGGAATATTTCCCTATATATCAAAGTCGAAGCAACGTCGCATTAAAATCACTGGTTTGCTTTACATATTTGTTAAACTTAGAGTCTTATTACTATGTAAAATTATACTTTCCAGCGGGACAGAGCTTCAATTTTACAATTTGATACATAAGTTTGTTAAAAAAAAACAAATAAACAAAAACGAAAAGAATATACGTAATAATGCATTTAATTTAGGGATAAAATTAAGCGGATATTTAAATTTAAATAAAATCTAGTTAATTACAATCAAACAATTCAATTCAAATACCATTTAAAAAATATTATATAATCAATAATCATATTTTGTATTTAATATGAAAAACGTATTTTAAAATCACGAATATTTTTGTACATATTTTTGCAAGATTGTATCTTACTAAGAAGTACCTTAGTCAGCAATAAAACGCGCATTCTTTACGTGGCCTCCGCGAATCCTTATAATTATAAAATGTGCATATTCGAGGCAAGGTCGATCACTTGCGATAACTATTAACCACACTATTTTACACTTTCACAGCAAGTAACGACACACACGCATACTCCGAATTAACCGATTAGAATTAGGTCACCCGCAATATATGTTGGTAAATTCATTGCAAGGAATTATGGATGATTGTCGTGTTGTCGAGGACATAACTTGGTTCATTCATGAAGGAATTTGACGTTGACTTTTCAATGATGATTTAAAACGATGCGTAATAACTCAGACGAAGATTCTCAAGATGAAGATTCCTAACAAAGATTTGAGAGAATTGCGGTTAATTAGCATACTAACACAGTTATATAACACAACAAATATTATAGTAACAAAGATGACTATTTTTAAACATAATTTAAATAGTCCTCACAACAAACTTTCGCGTACGCATTCTTTTTAAATATTTATATTATACATATAAAGATATGTTTACATAATAAATGAATTACAAATAGCGAAAGTGATATTCAATTTTTTATATATAACTATAACGATATGCTAATAATATAACTATTATTAGCATATCATTATTTACACAAACATTTACAAAAATTATTAAACTAATATAAATTAAGAAGAACAAGAAGAATATAAATTAATGATATTCTACAGTGTCAGATATCAAAGGAGCACTGGTAACCCAATTCTTTGAGTTAAATATAACATTTTATTATTTTTAACTTTTATGTGTGTAAAAATGCTAATCCATTTCTGTGATTAGTTTGAAAGTATTTAGTACAAAAAAATAATAAGCTAAATTTAAGTAAAAAATTTAATATTTTTTATTGAATTAAATTATTTGACTCCATTGTTTTAATTAAATTAACGATATATTGAATAGAAAGAATTGTGACTTATTGAAATGATTAAAAATAATTCAAATTGTATAATTTGATTATGAATTTAACAGTGTATATCTTTGTACGATATTATTGATCAACATTATTATTTCAAACTTTTTAGTCTCCATGATACAAATAAAAAATTATCTTGCAAGTGTATATATATATATACATATATATATACAAATATCAATTATAGACATGTAATATTGGCCTTCTGTTACTTATTTTTCCCTTCCATGTCTCTATACCATGTGCATGTCACAATGCGACACGTGGACGTAATAACCGATAATTGGGAAAGGCGTTTGCAAAGAATACAATTATCTCGATAATACAACAATTAGCTGTGAAATGAATTGGCTCTGTCCAAGATCAATATTACGAATGAATTTATTTCTCTTTGACGGAACCTGAATTTGCAAACAGTTGCAATCATTGCGAGACACGGTATACCGAAATCAAGACAATTGATTTTTTTAATCATAAAAATCATAGCGATACCATCTACATATACATATGTGATCTAAAAGCTATGTCTATATAAAATAAATATACTATCTATACAAGGAATTTCAAAATTCTCGACTTAAAATATACAATACTTGTGTGCAGCGAGATAGTTCTCGAAAAATTGAGTGAAAAGGTTATTTGTAAATTTTTATTTTAGGTAATTTTTGAAATAATGGGCAGTACTTTTTGAAATGATGATTAAATATGGCCAATACCTTTTAAATTACAAACCTTTTAAATAGACACTGAGACACATGTCCATGAGGCGCGCGTGCGATAAAGTAGTAGTGACCTCTGATGAGCGCGCACACACTTTAGCGCATTTATTAATACTCACAGGTGACTATTTAAACATGGTTTGTAATTGGCGATATTTAAACTCTTATATTTTAAAAACTATTACTGAAAATAAAAATTTACAAATATTTTTTTATTTAATTTTTCAAAAACTGTCTTGCTATAATATTTTGAGTCGTAAATTTTGGAACACCTTATATAGAATAAAAATCTAATCTCAGAATTTTGTTTCTATGAGACAGATCGGAGAGAAATTAAGATCGCGATAATCACATGCGTGTCTAGTTTTATCATATATCATTATTCCATTGTACAGAAGAGAACGAGCACAAGGCTTCGTTTTGCGGTTTACGTGTGTGACTCATCAGTAGCGTCAAACACATACATAGACATACAGGCACGCACAGCTCGTTGACACGTACACAGAACTTACATATATGCACACAGATTTACCACATTTTCTTTCTGCGTGGTCCTTTGTGAACGCACAGGAAATTCCCAACACGATGTATAATGCAAAAGTTAATTCGATAACAATTTATTGCGTGCAAAAATTTCTTATATTGTTAATTACGTTACTAATTAAAATTTCCTATTATCAATATGTTAATATAATGTCAATACGTTAGTCTTATAACATCACATTGAAATTCAATTTTAGCACTTAAAGAATACTTTAAAATTCTTATTTACAAAAAAAAATTAATATTATGTTTAAAAATTATTTTTAATTTTTTTTTTAAATTGTCAGTTATTGTTTATTGTTTTATTATAGATGTTGTTTATATAATATTTGTGTGTTCTTAAATTTAAGATAAAAAGTTCATTTATCGTAAGTTTATTTATCAAAGTAGAAATTAGCTATGATGACTGTGCATTTAAATAAAATATCGCAACTATCAATATATTACGACTTTACAGTTCTGTAAATTCGATAAAAATTATTAGTATTTTTCATTCGCATTTATAAATACAATAAAAAAATTGTTCAACGTATCTTAACAATATATTCAGAGTGCAATCTTCTCTCCGTAGCGTATTTCTCTGCATATCGTTATGTAACCTGATCATCGCACGATACACTTTCGCGTAGTCATGCGTTTAGTTAGCTTATGATTAGTGAAGTATTACTAATCTGTCAATTCAGTGTCAAGATAATATTATTTTGTTTAAAATAAAAACTAGCGCGTAAATATGCAGAATTCACTGTGCCCCAGAATTCACAATTCAAAATACCATATAGCAAGAAGGTTCTCGAAAAATTAAGTCAAAAATTCATTTGTCAATTTTTCTTTTAAGAAATAATTTTTTTATAATAACGGTTTAAATACGTATCTACAGTTTTAGATCATCATTTGTAAGTCGCGCTTAATATAATACTCATAGGTCATCTAAACGTAGTCTGTAATTGATCATATTTAAACCATTATGACTGGGTTGTCCCACCTTTTGATAAACTTCAACTCACTCTCTAACTCTCTTACTCCCTTATGTTCTTACTTCTTTACTCTTTTATTTATTCATTAGATAAATTACCACATAGTTTATACGGAACAATCGGCCCTATGTTTAACTATTGATTAAAATAAAAATTTACAAATGACTTTTTTTACTTAATTTTTACTTAATTTTTCGAAAATTTTCATGCTGTAATATTTTGAGTCGTGAATTTTAGGATACTGTATAATACCATATGACAAATATAATAGTAATATAATATAGGATAACTATTAAAAATTGAAATGAGATGGACTAAATGAGACAATTACTAATTGTTATAAATACTAAGGGTGTTCAGACACGCCCTGATATTTAAGTGCTTTTTAACTTAATTGCGTTTTAATTTCGTAATACGAGAAGCTTTTAAAACATCTTTTATATTTGTTATTACAAAATATCTAACGTAAATAGAATGTTTTAAAAATATAAAAAAACATTTCACACTATGCTTAAGCTCTTTGTGTATTATTTATTTTATTTTACTATTTCAAATTTAATAATTTTTTATTTATTTTAAGATATTAATTTTTCGTACACAATAAGCTAGTGTTTGCAAACCGCAATAAAACGTGGCATTCCTAATGCAGTACCGAGTTCTTTTAAGTTGGACGTGTATCGCGTCGTCGAGCAACTAGGTATTCATGACATGTTTCTTCGAATGAGATACATTTAATTGTATTCGTGCAACTTGCAAGTTTCTACTGCTCCGAATGTCATCAGGCAAACAAAGTATCGTGCTCTCGTCTTCCATGTTTGGTGAACGCATCACCATGGTTACGTCGCCCTGTGTTGTCCTAGAATTTCCACAGCGAGCATTACTCTCGCGTCAGTACGCCAATTCGCAATTTTATCAGTTACGTAAGTCAGAAGCCACCAGAACAAGAATTTAGGGAGACGTCGTTCACCATCGCCGCAATTATTCCTAACGGCCTTCTCTTTAATGAGTTCAGCTCTCTCCTCGGCTCATCGATCTTTTTCCGATTGTTTCGCTTTGTCTTATGTACAGGTTGAATCAACTAGTCAGATTAGAGCAACCAGTATCTAAAGAAGGATATGACATACATTCTCGTGTCTCTTTGATTTTTTTTTTCAAGTATCTCACTCAATATTTGCACAATTGAAAAGTAATAGAAAAAGCTTAGTTTTCCTAACAAATGGACTTGACAATGCTTTTACTTGTCTACTTTCAATGATAAAACAAAGATCCATGTTATTCACTCCTTTTTACTAGAAAATTATATAGAAAATTAGTAATGCAAAGATTGTCGGAATAATGTTTCCTTGCATGTTCACTCGATGAGTCGTCTAAAGTTACCTATTTGAGATTATAATTAAGAGTATATAATTGAGACAAATTATTGATGTCATTTCGCGTCGCTTTGAGAAATAATCCAGTTAACTGGTGAAGATGACTTATTCTTATAGATGGTAAAACCCAGAAGTGAATCATCGGATGAATTAGTATTGCACTAGAATAAGAAATAGTTAATATATAACGTAATATCGTCAAAAAGAATGACATGATTTCTTCAAAGTCGATTAACTTTAACCGTAATTCTATTCTCTGTATTTCTTTCGGGATTCTGTCTCTGTAGAAGAAAATAAAGAGACCATTGCCCCTTGATTAAGGTTAATCGACGTCGAAGAAATCAATCCTGGAGCGATCGAAAAGATCTAAGATTCAACGGATTCACTCGATCTTCTGCTTATTGTTGCGAAAAATCGCGCTCCCACCGTAATTCCACAACACAATGACCTGGATTAAAGAAAAGTTGACTGCTAAATTCTTCCACATTCATTCATTTATATATAAAAAATAATAGATTTATACATTTCAATTTTATTTTCAGTTAAATATACAGTACAAGGCTCCATAAAATCTATCACGTTTCTTTCTCAAAACAAAATATCTATAATTAACACTTTCATACTTTTATTTTGTGATTAGTTTAAATGTATTTTTATTAAAAAGAAATTATATATTAGGAATTATATATTTTAGCTAGAAACTTATTTATTTATTTAAGAAGAACCACTTTTTCAAATTAATTTATCTAAAATTAAAAACTGATAATTAATTATATCGTTAAAAAAATTTTATATATAACAGAGAACAAAGAGGATAAATAGTGACAACAATTCTATAAATTTGATAATTAAAAAATTAATCTCTACGTAGCGAAAAAGATTTAAATCATTGTCACATTTATTCTCAGAATTCTAAAATAGGCAGGAAGCAGTTGAATTTTTTATGAACATCTCGTGTAAGCTCTTCACAACGTCATTTCGCAAATTTTAAAATAAATCCGTGTTTATTTTTGTACACAAATTATCTTCCTAATTCTACTTCACGTTGCATTTTATATGCAATTTAATTTTCTCAGCGAAAGGTTATCGCGTAAAATACTCTTGCCTAAAAATAGAATAATTTTTATTGATGCAATCGATATACATTTATGTCAATATAATTTTTAATTGCTACAGATTTAGCTAAGAAAATGTTGTCTCAGTACGATATTAATTATTAACACTAGACAATTATTTTTAAAGGAACAATTGTATTTTAAAGGAATTTTTATATTTAGATATAAGAACCTCGTGACATAAAGTTTGTCCTATATTTTACGTTTCACTATTAAGAAGTGATTTCCTAATCGTCTATAAGACACTAATCTGGTAAAACTATCTCGGCTTTTCGTTTTTTTTTTATTTAATGTGTATGGAAAAGTAGAGAAAAATTTTTATTTTAATCTTAAGATTTTTAAAGCAAACCAGTAATCATAAAACAAAAATTGATAAAAATTTTTCAGCAAAAAAGTCATCCATTTGCCGTTTTTATTAACTTAGACGATAATATATTGCTTCATGGATTGCTACTCAATTTTAATGAATAGAGAATGGCAAGTGATAAGAAAATCGATAATTTCAAAGCTTTTATCCGGTTCACTATTAAACGAAATATTTGGCCCAATTGTTTATCAATTTTTAACTACACTACAAAACAGGCCATTGTCGATAATTAGTATGCTTTTAGAAAAGATAGTACCCCAAGAACATAATTTATTAAACAGCCGGGTCACATACTTGCTTTTTCTCCGATTCGAACGGTCATTTACCCAGAAAGAAACGAACTCGCACTCACAATAGGATAAAACGGGGTAATTTGGATAGGTTAAAGAAATTTTGAAATTGTATAAAAAAAAGATTGAGGCCGCATAGTATATTCAATCAAATATACAAAATATACAAATTACACCAATAACGTATATTTTATATGTTTAATTGAATATACCATCCCTCAACTTTTTACATAATTCAAAATTTCTGTTAACCTATTCAAATTCTCCGCTTTATCCTATCTATTTGTTCGCAACAACTTTTAAAAAGTAAGTAGCAGTTTCACAAATCCTAACTTTATATTAAAATTAAAAAAGTTATATCTTTATATGAAAAAATCTATAATTTTACTAATTTTTTTTTACGGTGTTGCTCATGGTACCGAAATTGATGCCACCTGCTGAAGTTCAAACTTGGGTATGCAACTGCTGCGCAAACACTCACCGGTCCTCATTTCCGTCACGGATGCAGATCCTTTACCAGACGGCGTTTATCACAATGTAACGCGCGCCAAACAAATTCGTAGGAGGTCACGTGTACCGGTACCGGCGGTCCGATAACACACGCGCACTAATTCCCGGTCCACGTCCACGTTGAGATGCCGTCCATCGATCGTTTTCTGCTCGATCCTTTGACGCTATTGCAGACGCGTCCTTCCGGTCAAGTGGATCCCGATCGTCCTGTATTCTTTGCGATCAGGAGAGAGACTCCGAAAAACGCGCACCTCTCACTGTTTTTTAACTGCACGATGAGGAGAATTTAGGCAAAGACTAGCTACGCGATGACTTAATCGTTCGCCGGACATGGATCTCGCGAGGCACTTGTTGATCTCTTCGCGGCATACTTCTGTCGACAGCGTCGAGAACCACACCTTGCGAGAGACTGTACGAGAAATACGGGCCGAGTTGAAAGGCCCTCGGCCGTGAGACCAGCTCAGGTCCGTAGTTATTTGCTGGTAGTTCGCACATTGGCGATCCGCGCTACTCGACGAGCACGTAAATACTACATAAGTATAATGACCGGTTCCACTAACGTGAATTAAACTCCCAAGTAAAACAGCAGATCTCAGTAACGTTTAACGTCCGTTTCTATCAACGTCATTTAATTTTAATCTTGGTCTAATTAACTCTTCGTCTTTTTCTAGTTCTAAGAAAAGATGAAGCGCAAGTTAAATTGAGATTAAAGTCAATCTATAAAAACGGTCAGACGTTAAAACGAATTGCGACTGATTGAAAAATGACTTTAATCATTTTGGAGCCATTTTGACGTTAGCATGCTTTTTTAGATCCATTTTGACTTCATTATGACTTTTGGTTACGGATTTAATCTTAATTCAACTTACTTCTAATTCATTATAGAACTAGAAAAAGATAAAGTGTATGTAAATTGAACCGAAATTAAAGTTATTCTACATTGATAGAAACGAGCGTAAACCGTTCGAGAGGTGCATGCTAGTCATGCATCAAGAATATTTAGTATCTAATAATGACCTCACGAGAAAGAGAGAGAGAGAGAGAGAGAGAGAGAGAGAGAGAGAGAGAGAGAAAGAGAGAGAGAGAGAAATCGCAGCTATAGATAAATTACTTGTAAAAAGAAGAAAGCATGTTTGAAAATAATTATATTATCTTTTGTGTGTGTGTGTGTGTGTGTGTGTGTGTGTGTTTTATGTATGCAGGGAGGATTATTTATTTTAATTGGAGACACACACACAATATACCTGTACAATTTTCCACTTTTTATTCTCTCTTTATTTCTTTGATAGATATTTATATTTATCAAAGAGATAGATGTCTCTTGTATACTGAATAATTAATAAGTTTTAAGATTGGTTACTCCATACCTTGTTCTTCCTTACAATTTTGTTCTTTTCGCTTCGATACCTGAAAATATATTATTTATTTTATTCTGAGTACGGAAATACCTCGTTGAAAACATCATCTTAAGTTAGACTTCTTACATACATAGAAATTCATTATATATACATATATACATTCTATATGAATTAGTAATCAATCATTTAGTTGCGAGAGCATTGAATAAAAATTGAAACTCTGTTTCTGTGAATAATAAAAAATATAATGTCTGTTAATTATGTATACTATAAAAATATATTGTATCGTATGGACGTCTGTACTTGCTGATTCCTACCGGTCTAAATATATTTGAAAACTTTTCTATGGATATTTCTTTATTTTAACTCTGATGTATAATACACACATACATACAGAGTGTTTGAAATTTTAATGTCAAAACTTCGGGAGCGTGTAGGAGATAAAAATCGATAAAATAAAAAAAAATATTAGTTATCCTGTAGAAATATACTGATCGTTTTTGCTTCGTTGCTTTTGGAGAAAATCGCAAAAAAGATAAATCAACAAAACATAGTTTTCATTTTTGCGCTTTCATTACTTATTCACATTGTATTTATTAACTTGCTTAATGTAAGTATTGTTCAAAATGTTGTCTTCCCATAGTGTGGCGTATATATAGAATGTTTGGTAAGTTTTAATAAAGCGCTCATATATAGATAGAGCGGACTAAATTAAATTGAAAAGTCCTCTACCATTTTCGCAATTTTTTTTAGTTACCCAATGAGCAAAACGTCTAAAATCGACGCATAATACGTTTTTAAAATTTCTTTAAGAGTTTTTTAAGAAACATCTTATAAGATATTTCATAAAGAACTTTGAAAGAGATCTTAAAGTTCTTATGCGCCGATTTTGCTTATCGCTTATCAGTAATCTTGTATTATCGTAGAGGACTTTCCAATTTCGTTCTACCTACATATGTATGAACGCTTTGACAAAGCTTACCGAACATCCTGTATATATACAGGGAATGGAAGTGACTCGTTACTTGTAACGAAATTACATTAGTTACAAGTTACTTTTTTATAACTTTACTGGTAACTGCATTACTTTCTTTTTGGTTACTTTAACGGTAGTGTAGTTACATTTTTTAAGTAACGGTAACGAATTTTACAGTTACTTTTATCGTTACTTTGCACACGATTGGACATGGTTCGATTGGACACAAGCCATTCATAGCGCTTAAGACTAGAAAGCCCCTAGGCACCCGTCCGCTGTGATTAGTGGTCGTCGATTTTAAAAAAGTAACGGAAAAGTAACGAAAAGTTTTACTTTCTCAAGTAACGGTAATTGTAACGAGTTACTTTTAAAAATCGGTAACTAATAACGGTAATGTTACTTTTTCTACTCAGTAACGAGTAACTGTAACTTGTTACTTTTAAAAAGTAACTTTCCATTTATATTGTAAAAAATTTTTTTTTAATTAACACGCTAAATATTAAGAAACGACAAGCTAATGTACATATCTTTATTAATAAAAAAAATATAAGTAATGAAAGAAGCATTGGAAAAGCATTGGAAAAAGAAAGCCAGGTATGCCGAAAAGGCGTTTAAGGATTAATGACAGATCTCTCTCTTTTATCTTTATTATTATTATTATTTATTTCAATTACATCTTGTTTTAAATACCTACTTTAAGCCGGCACTGAGTCGTGTCAAGAGAGAGGGACTAACTACTATGCCACCAAAACGGTACGATGCGGCGTACCGTACGTTCGTTGTTTATCTCAGTTTTATCAACATATTTTTTGTCTTTCTGTCTTGCATTCTCTCTTTTTTTATACTCCTTTCTCTCTCTCTCTCTCTCTCTCCTGCTAATGACTCGTTGTCAACCACAATGCAAAAAAAAGAAAGAACCGTAAACGGTATCGCTTCATCGATTTCTTGAAATATGTATTAGTAGAATGTTCAGATGTATGAATTGGCTACTGAGTGATCGATACACTTAAAAAATTAAACAATTCATAATTTCTAATATTATTCTTTATCAATTTACCCATATTATCTTGGATAATTATAATTTGCATACTTTATAGTATAATTGCATCTTTATGGCAAATGCAATTTTATATTAGCATCATGTAAGTATTACGTGCCTAATATTTAATTCTTAATTTTTTTATCAATGACGCGAGATAAAGTTGAGCTTTAAAATGGCTAAACCTTTCTCAACGCGCATTAATTCGAGACCGGGTGATTTAAGCGCACGCGAAAAAGATTGCGCGGCTTAATGAGACTCTTTAACGCGATTGGGATGTCACGGAGAGAAATTGCTAATGCGCTTTAACAAGACGATTAGAGAATATCCCGTGCACTTTGTAGAGGTATGCGGTTTACTTTTACCAAACGATGCAAATTGATAAAACCGGTTCACCGGCTAGAATTGCGCTCTAAGATATACGATGTACTACTTAGCCGCGTACCGTGGTTAGAGATTACTTTATCAACCCTTCGTCACTAAGTTAGCAAAGTCAGAGATTTACGTCCTTTTATCTCATCTTTTAATTAATATATCAGTTTATGGAAGATTATGTTTGTAGTCTTTAAAAATGCATGAATTCTTTTCTGCGATTGTTTATTTTAATGTACTATAATTTATATCATAAATCGTCGTAAGCCTCTACTATATAATATTTATTGGTTTCGTGATAATTAATTTTGTGTAACGTGTGTGTGTGTGTTATTTACTTATATCTAATACATATTTATTATTGCTTATTTGCTGTGTACATATATATTAAATGGCTTATTTTAAAATCATTTTAAATCTATATTTTTATAAAGCTTCATAATTAAAAGCATTTATATATTTTAACATGTTAAAAAAATATAACTTTTAATTTTTTTATTGTTAAGTTCTTTATACAAAGATTGGAAAATATAATAACTAATAAATAATAAGATTTATTATTTTATTCTATTGTTATATAATTTATATAATTTCTTTGTCTTTGACAAATAAAATTACCGTTTGCTCCTCTAGCTCGTAGTTCTTGCAACGTTCTACAGAGGTCGACTATTTACACGCAGCTTCTAATTTTCCAACATTTTACGTTTTTATCCATCTATTTATCTATTAAAATTTATTAATAAAAATTATATAATTTAGTTATTATTTTTTACTATCGGATAATAATATACTTTTATTATTTGCGAAACGAATTATAATATATTTTATATTAAATATTTGATCAAAAGGGAATTAAAAAGAGAGGATTTTAAAAAAAGAGGAAATTAAAAGATTTTCATGACGGTATCCTTCGATTTTTAATTAAAAGGTTGTAAAGGAATTATTTTTACACTGCAGAAATTTAATTTAATACTGGCCAATTTAATATTGAAAGGTAGTGATAATTACTTATTTTAAGTATTAAAATCACTAGACAATAGTGCTTTTAATACTCAAAGTAAGTATTTTTAATCACTGTCTTCCAATATTAAATTTCTACATTAAAAATCAAAATTTAAATATTAATCGGGCTCTCGAAATTAAAAACAATAATAGAATATCCGGGCAATGAAAGGATTAACACAGCGCGTGAATTGGTACGCAATTTATATAATAGTCAAATAATATTGAAAAAATACACACTTTGTTACTTTAAGTATAGGAAGTATATACTAATTCATTTATAAGAAATGGACATAGATAGTGGATATATTACATATTAGTTTATAGGGTAGTATACATATTTATACCTAGGCTGTGTTCCAAAATTAACTGCCAGTACTGAAAATCTATAGTGCATGTAACGTAAACTATAGCATTTTCAGTGCTTGCAGTAAATTTGGAACACAGCCCTAGCTTTGGAATGTACTGATCGTATCTAACAGAGATATAAAGAAATGACTAATGGTCAAGAACGTATTAAAGTGGTGGACCATACTTCAAAAAACGTGTCACA